TCACAAACTCTAGAATAGAAAATCATTGTGATCTTTTGCAAATCGATACATATGACATCGATGAGAAGTAAGGAACAATAGTCATGCTTCTCAGCTACCTTCCAATGAAAGTCAGACTAATGCCGAGTTCTTATGCTCAATTACTTAAGCTCATCAGAGACACAAACTATTCATCTGCTAGCGATCAGAGCAAGTGTATGTCACAACGTAATCAGCATACTGTCGGAGGGATGATTGGAGACAAACAGCTGTTAATGGCATCCAGTTTTGAATACATTATCTTGTGAATGCATGTCGAACAATGTAGCTACTGAATCATGGCGCGTCTCAGCATGAACGAGCGTATCTCTCATACCCTTTAAATCTCAAATTCAAAGTTTAGAAATGGATGAGCATCAATTATGAGCAGTTGTAATAGAAAAAATATCTTACTTGATCAATGAAACATGTCCGGTAGTTGTCAGCAAATCTGCAACATGAAGAATTGAAATATTTATATAGCAAGATTCAATTCATTAACTAGATATGCTTCTGATGACAGTAACACGCTTCTTCTTAAATTAAGTATCATCAATATGTATAGATAAGAACAAAACAAAAACAGTTTTTTTAATCACTCAAAAACGTTCGATGAATATAAACAGGTGCATTCGATGCAGAACGTCATTCTTTATTTGTTGGTACGAGTTTCATCCGCTAGAAATGCTTGAATAAATACGAAACATAATATTTATTGTCTACTAATTAGTCAAATATAACAAGTGGCAGAGAAACAAGAAAGATTTTTTTTGTAATCAATGTTTTGCTGTCTTATATCATCGGTGTAAATTTCAGTAAAGACTCACTCGATAAAGAAATTAATTCTCTAAAAAAATCTGCTATTTGAAATTTGCAAAGTTCAACTATTTACAGAACAGTATTTGATATTATTCATAGATGCGAATTTCAAAACGGTATCTACTTAAAATTTGAAAAACTCCCTTTCCATATCAGTTGTAGACTCTCCATGGATTTTGACACTATCAGAAAATTCTTCTAGGATTTGGTATTTAAATATATATTTTTGGCAATTTCATCTTTAAGCTTTTTTGGAAAACTTTTCGAATTTAACAAGAGTGATAGATTTGACAAAAAAAGTTTTTGTTTATTCATCTTTCACAATTTTCAGTTTTTTGACTGTCTACTAATAAAATTTCAATGAATATAACTGAACTAAAAAACAAAAAAAGGATCGTGTTTTTCCAAAAACAATAGTTTAATAAGGAATTACAAGTGTATATGGATATTAAGAAAGACTAGTGAATTTGTAAACTATCTAAATCGATAGAGCACAAATTTTTTCTATATAGTTGTATATAAGTATTGAATATATTCACGTACAGTAACAACTTATAGCGATCAAAAATAAAATAAGAAGGACATGGTATAGTTCTGAAATTCATATCTGTGCCTATTTTACAAATTGTTTTGAAGATAATTGACTTTTTCAAATTTTAAATATCGGTTTTTGTTGAGAATTAAATTCTTTTTAATATGAGTCTTTACTAAAATTTCAATCGGTTACATAAGACAGCAAAAAAAATTATTACAACAATGCCTCATTATTTTTGCGCCATTCATTTGTAATAATATTTCAATAACTAGTATATTTACCATCGTTAGAGTATGTTTGCCACATGAAATTGATCGTAATTTATTGACAATTTAATTTTACATTTAACTGAAGCTCTTAAAATCATCGAAAATAACTTGATGATTATAGAAAAGACAGTTTGGACAGTACTAGCATAACTATCATCTAAGCTTGTAGTGTATTGACAATATTTGTTATTATTGTTACATTTATTTCATTTCTTATATGTTGGTGCTTGTCTACTGATGAGTCATGATTTACATATATGTATAATTCTATACATATATTTATGTGTTCTTTTCCTTTATATTGTGATCACTCTAATTTCGTATATAACAATATTTCTATTGTTAGATTTCTTTATTTCTATTCTACTCTTCCTTCCATTTGTATGAGTCATCACAACATATAGATCTCTATATATATGCTTGTTTTTTCTTAAAAAGAATATAACTTTGTTCGTTTCGTTTCATCTAACTTGTTGGTTGTTTCTGTTCTTCAAGTCAATAAACAAGTTATTGAGGGTGTTCTTTATTGTATTACGCAATTGATAATATAATACATTTTCTGGTTTTTACGTATAACCTGAATACGTGACAAAGCTGATGATATTTCTCTTACAAAGTGGAATATCACTGTATAGACACTTGAGTTCTACATCAAACACATATCATTAAAAGTGCTAAACATATTACGATGATCAGGAGTAAAACTTCTAATTAATTATACATGGTGATATAATTAAACTGGAGAAAATATTGTTCTATTTTTTTCATGTATTTTGGATCAATAAGAAAGATATCAATCAAGAGAACATTGAATTTTCCATCTATCTATTACATATGTTTAGAGTTACTGTGTATATTTGGATGACCGCTAGACAGTCAATATTTGTACTCTCATAGGTTATATAGTGTAATGATATCATATTAATAAGAGTTTTTCCTTTCAGATTTATATCCAGAAGATAAGAATTATATTTATTGATGTAGCATTCAATTCTGTATCCAATAGACATATTTAGATTTGCCAATCATATTTGAATGATAGAAATATTTTATAAAACAAAATAATAGACTGTTTGTCTCTATCAATCTTTTATCGTTCGAGCATTATTTTATTATATGGAGAAAGTCAAGTTTTATGATTATTATTATTTTGATTATTTTTAAAGGCATTTCAACTACATTTTGCTTTTGTTCCTAATCAAAGTATCCTAGTATATAATAGATGTTTTGCTGTATTCTGTGATTTTCTAGCTGCATAGAATATGTTAAGAAATAAACACAATATAGTAGTAAAAAACAACAAAAAAAAAACAAACAAAAAGAAATTTAATTGACCTCCATTGTAGCAAATACATTTCTGTTAGAAATAATAATAATTATTTTGCTACTTTCATGGAATATTTAAATAAGAGGAACCAAGAAAAAACTCTTGCTGAGCATGCTAATAGTATTCTGAAGCACGAATAGACATAATGAAATGATTGATCTGTTTTACATATTGAAGTACAAATCATTTTTGGTTTATTGGCCAGTCTATCGACCAAAAACATCGGAAGAATGCAAATATTAGATGATGAGAATAATTCAATCGAAAAGAAGGTAAATCGAGCACGAAAATTGGCCTTGCAATGTTTTTTTTCCAGCATACATAGATATTGGTTTTATATGTCGAAGCGAGATGAAATAAGACGACTAATACAGATTATTCAAAACAAATAAGACTTGTTTATACTAGAATTATTACATGTTATGATGCATAATTATATAATTAGTGACTCAAACCTTAGTAAATATAATTACTCAAAGTAAAGAAATAGCTTAATGCCAAATACGATACTTTTTTCATTGAGTCTTTTAACAAATACTAGTCTCCATCATTGATATGAGATAATGAAAGATTAATGTTTTTCTTTCATTTGACATTTTTCACTAAATATATTTTTATTTAGAAAAAAATCTCTGCTAACATTTACTCTTATTAGAACTTTTTCACTTCTGTTGTTTATTTTGAGACGGATATGTTATTATTATCCTGACAATTGAAACGGACGGCCGAAAAAGCAGTAAATGACCAGTAGCAGTTGTTGTTAGGGTACAGATGACAATTTTCTTTTGCCTTATGTTATTAGATATCATTAAGACATAAAATCATGCCAATATAGAATAGATATCTTGGTCTTCTTTTCACATTATAAATTCTAACGAACAATATGAATAAATATCATGTGATTCTTATAATAATATTGTAAATTGAAAGCATCATATATCATTTTTATTAAGGTTTTCATATTTGCACGGATGATTGCTTGTCAGTTAGAAAAGCACCTGATATGATTATTCACATATAGGTGTACATATAAATATTATTTACTTTTTCTTTTTTTTTCTTTTTGTACTTTGTTTTTCGATATGCAAGGAAGCAATCATTAGAATATACTCGAAAGAAAAACGTGTTTCGGTTTTTTTCTCGAAGGATATGTCCAAACAATATTACTAAAATAAAGGTCCATGAAATTTTGATGTATGTATATTTATTTATTTATAACAACATATGCTGCTTATTATTACGTCTAGAATTAACGATTTTGTATGATAATTAGAAATCATTTTATATGTACCTACTGATAGAAAAATTTAACAATATGAGAGACTGTCTATGTCAAAAATCGTTTATTTACTCATAATTTTAATTAGCATAGTTACGCGTCATCTCTTTTTTAGTATAACCATATATTCGAATATGTTATATGTCTTTTCTATTTCTATCAATCATTAGGAACTGGCAATTAATTTTTGTTTTTTTCCATTTGACCCACAAGTATATAAGATGTATATATGGGACAAGCAAAAGAACATACTTTAAAGAATAAACCACATTAACTTGTTCTTGTTTTCTTCTATTTCTAGTATAGAAGATAGAAATATAATAGATTTGAATCGATAAGATCATTTGTTTGATGCATGAGGTTCATGGAGTACATCTGATAGATCGAATAACAATTATGTTGTGAGTTATTATAAAAAGAAAGAAAGAATCAAGAAGAAAAAAGTGTCATGTCTCATATAAAATTTTCTAACAGATACCAGCAAAAAATAGAAGGAGAAAAGAATGTGAAAAGAAAGAAAGAAAGAAAGAAAGAAAGAAGAAACAATCAAAACATAGAACAGAAGAAAAAAACGAAAAAAAAGAACAATGCAATTTTAAGGCCAACTCAGTAGAAAATGTTGGATGTTCATGAAGCTCACCGTAACAACAACGAGTGATCTTCATAGAACAATACAACTTAATAACGATTTTATCATATGAGTATATATCTATAGAAAATTGATATTTCTTTTGATAATTATATTTCGCGACAATGAACACAAAACGTTTACATGCATCTGCTGAAGATTTAAGTAAAGATTACTTATCACCATGTAAGTGTCTTATGCTTATTTGCTCATTTCCATAATGATTAGTTTTTATTTTCTTACCACATAAAATTTCGTATATTAGTTTTTATTCGATGAACGGAAAAAAAAGACGATTAGATTTCAGATTTCATATTCGATGTCAATCATTGTTTATTCAAGTATCAATCTATTATAATTTCAATTGATAATAAATTCAGGGAAGAAATTCTATTAGTTTCTTCGGCTCAATCGAATCTTTCGATTATCATAATATCTCTAGGAAACTTATTTATCTGTACGAAACAAGTACGTGAGAATATGAAGGCGTCATTGATTATTATGATTGAAAAAGAAGATCTGCTTAATGTTCGTTTCTTTTTGACAATAAGATGTTGTTAGATTAACTAAAGCTGTTTTCTTTCAAAATGTCAAAATAAATTATTTGAATTAATTATTAATATTATATTTATTTAATTTAGACGCTGTATTAACTTCAATGACATCCATTGCTACTCAAGAATTACCATTTCAAGAACTTGAATATGGTATTTTAATTGATCTTCTTCAAGAACTTCAAAATGGTCTTGTACGAAAACCAGATCATTTTAATAATGTACATTTTTTACTTCTATTATTATATGATTCCCATGGTTATCCTCGTGATCGTTATCCATTATGGCGTTGGTATCATCGAATAAAAAAAAAACTTCTTACAGCTAAACATTTAACAATTGATAATGAAAAATCTCGTCAATGTATTATTGATGTACTTGAAAATCTTATTGATGCAAATCCAAAAATAATAACATTAATTGAAGAAAGTGTTCAATTAGATCAACAATATCTTCATTCTCATATGCATGGCTTATTTAAATCATATGCATCTTTACATACATATTTATATATGGAACAAATTGATACACCAATAATAAATGAAAATAAAAAAATATTTGATATATTTCAATCATGCATTATAAAATTATCTCTACGTGAATATTGTGATTTAATACATTTTGCAATAGCACATAAGAAAACAAATTTGCTCGATAAAATTTTTGGAGACAAAATGAATTGGTTGGATATATCAATGAATTTATGTACTGAACGTGGATGGTTACCATTACATTATGCTGCATACGTTGGAGATAAAGAAACGGTATATTTTTTTTTATATTGAATCATTCTATTTATTTATTTATTTAATCTAGGTTAAGACAATATGTGATACATTAACGTCATCAGCATGTCATTTTGATACATTATCATTAATGATTCCACCTTTTCAACAACGAGAATTTGATCATAATCCAAATGAATATATTCTTAGAGCATGTGGTGTTGAACGTGATACAACAAATCGAACAAAACAACGTAAACATGGATTATCAATATTAAGACCATCACTTTCACTTGATAGTCATACGAGATTGTCAAGACCACAAAATCTTCCAAAATTTCGATCAAATTTTGATGGACAAACAGCAAAAGATCAACCACCATTAGGAACAAATAATGTTATAAATGATCCTCATAGTAATAGTAATTCTCTAAGTATTGCAAATGATAATGACATTCCAGATGCTGATGAACTTGAATTAAGTTCATTTCCTTTAATACAACGTGAAGAATTTATTGATAAACTTATACATGGATATGATGCAAAACATATGCTTACTCCATCACCACTTACTCTTGCATGTATTGCAACATGTGGTGAAAAAGCAGATTATGAAGAAATAGTTAAACTATTACTTGAGTCTCACCTTGTTGAATTTGATGGTCTCAATCATGAATGCATAGTCAGTCGTGTATTTGACTATATGCATAGAAAAGATTATGCAACATTTCAACATGTAAAAGTATATCGTGATACTGAGATTGAAGGACCATCGACATTTATATCTTATCAATTTGATGGTTTTATTGTTAATCAAGATGTAAAACCAGTTTCTGGTGCTTTATCAGGTTCATCAGTAACATTGAATACATCGAAAAACGATGAATCAGGTGCATCCGATGATGGTAATCAAACTGAAACACCAATAAGTATACGTTGTTTTTTAACTGTTCTTGTTCTTCGTGATGTATTTCTTCAATATCCACGTTGGGATTTTCATTTGTTACGTGAAAATATTGAAGAAAATTTTGTTGAATTAGAAAATGCACTTGGCTGTCGACCAACAATATTATATCCTGATGGTGATGTTATATCATCACGTAAACGTAGTGATGTAACATGGGAAGTTAAAGTAAAATATCGTTTAAGTTCTGAAACAGGTCAATCATTATTTATGGAAGTTGATTATTATTTTTTTGAATCATTTGGTGATCCATTTGCTGATGCATTTGCAAATATTTATCAAACACCATTTTACTTATCATGTATGACTGATTCAACAGTTATCATGCATACAATATTTGATTCATTTTTTAAACGACGAAATCTTTTTTGGTGTGGAACAGTTGCGCAAAGACATTTAGAACATTGTTTTGGTAACTAAAATTTTTTTTTTCTTAATAATAATCATGATTTTTGTCTTTCTAGATGGTGTTTTACAAATAAAAAATAATTGTACAACATTTTTATCATTATGTACAACATTAAGTCATTATTATCAAGTTGATGGTGATCCATTTATTGAAGAAAATTCAGCTTCAATACAACGTATATTTGTTCATGCATTTGCTTGTTGTGTACGTCGTAATGCTAAAATCGAACTTGATTATTTAATTAAAAATCATGCTTTAATTTATTATGATTCATGTCGAACAAAACCAAGTGATATTCGACATAATATATTAACATATTGTGTTGTGAGAAATTTAGCTAATGTATTTGATCAATTAATGACAAATATGAAAACAACAATGTATAAAACATATCAAAATTCAACAAATCCAGATTGGCAACCACATATTGCTTGGAGAGAAATTATACATGTTATTATTGATCCACTTTCACAACAACAAAATGGTACAAATGAACAATGTGATTTTACCCAATTGGCTTGTTACGGTGATACAAATACAAATTTTGCAACAATTGGTAGTATACCAATACTTCATGCTACTGGTGATGAATATACTCGATGTATAAATGCACGAAAAAATCTTATATTAAAAGCAAAAAAAAGATTACCACGAGCATTCAGTGAGGCAAATAAACATCGACCATTATCACGTCGAATGATTAGTCTTGATCAACAACAAATTGAAGATGCTCTAAGTAATTTAACAGATAACACCAATGTTGGAAATTATAATGCTGGAATAAGTAATAATAATACAACCGTTAGTGGAACAACAACTCATGTAGGTATAACAAAGAGATCAAGAAATATTTTTAAAAATGTTAATCGATTACGTTGGGGAAAGAGTGATCGACATAGTCCATCTAGACCAAACAGTCAATATCAACAAGAAATTGATAATCATTCAAATTCACCAACAGTAATAACTGGACTTGATGAACTAGTAATGCCAAAAGACACAATCAGTTTGGTGAGTAATATTACGCTATAATCACATATATTATATTAATAGACACATATTCTTATTCACTGTATGTGCTATCCCTAAACTTGTTGATTCACTTTCCGTTTTCTATTTCATTCTCATATCATATATGTTATGCGTCTTTTTTTATTTTCATTTTTTTCATTTCAATTATTCCTATTAATCTATTCATCGATACATATGTTGACTGTTATTGTTAATACAATAAAAGTAGAAGGAAAGAAAAGAGATAGAAATCGAGAAAAGGAAACGGAAGATGTATATATAATTGGTTTTATTATTTCGAATGACATACACTATATTTTGTTGTGATCTTTACGAACATTTGTTACTTAATATCTTATGATGACATTCGAACTTTCGAAAAAAACACAACATGTGGTTAGAATCAAACAGCAATCAGTGCGTTTATTGGTTATACTATTACAGAAATAAATGTAAAACAATAAAGATATGCATATATTTTATAGTTAATAGAATTGTAATTACGATATAGAAGTACTTAAAACGATAATTGATCATTGAAAATAATTGAATAAATATTTAAAAAAAAGAAACAAATCTCTTGAATAATATAATCATTTTATTATGTTAATTATTGCTGTTGAATAAAATTCCACCATGTTTCAAAAAATAATCGTCTTGATTTATCAGCTTGTATTTCACATGTTTGTGCTTGATGTAGAATTTCATCTATATTGAGGTTTCCATATAATTCAGGTCTATTAGTACGTGTTCGTTGTACCCATTTGTTAAATTCAGTAAAGGATGCTTCAGGATGAAATTGTACGCAAAATGCCGAACCAATTCGAAATGCAGCAATATAATTATTCGATGTATAAGCTAAAATCGATGCATTCGATGGTAAATCGAATGAATCTTTATGATGCATAATAAATAATGGTTTATTTTGTTGTTCTTCGAATACTTTTAACATAATTGGATCATGTTTTCCTTCCGTTGTGAGTTCATATTGAACATAACCAACTTCATAACCATATTTTCCTAACTGACCATGTCCACCAATAACATTAGCAATCAATTGTGCTCCGAGACATAAGCCAAGTATAGGTGTATTGAGAGCGAGTTGAGCAGCAAGAAATGATTTTTCCCATTTTAAATATGGATATATATCATCTTCATATGTACCTTGTGGTCCACCAAGACTAACAATAGCTGAATAATCATTCGTATTATTATCTGGTAATTTTGATTGGATCTCAGAATCAAAAATAGGAAGAATTTCGAATGGAATATTATTTTCAGCAAAAAATATTGTTACATAAGCAGGAGGGCAATTTAATGAATGCTGAATAATCAGCACTTTTGTCGACATAATCTTGAATAGTAAGAATTTTTTTTTATTTTTTTTTTTTATAAATACTAAATCGATCTATGAATCAAAGAAATGAACATCTTAGTCATTAGAAAATATCAATAATTCATTTTAGAATGAATTTGAACTTGTAAGAATATCTAAATGAAAATGTAAGTTGTTTGTTTTAATTAAAATATCGGTATTTAGTTCGTATGAGTGGTCGTGAAAATACTTGAACATCTAATAATTATTATGTGCATGTTGCATGATATAACTAGTTCACCTTTATTTATAATTAATAAAATAATAGTAGTGCTATTTTATGCTAAATAATAAGACACAATTTTGAATATTTTATATGCATTATAATTTCTCTTCTATACAGCCCAATGTCAATGATGACAATTGGAATAATGATGATAATGAAGGTGAAGGATCAATAGTATTGAATATTTTTCGTCCAACTACACCAATTTCGAAGCGATCATCAGTGAAAAATAAACATCTTCAATGTCATCAAACAAACGATACCATTCAAGCTCGACAACATCGAACACCTTTACAACAATTACAAGCTATATTTCGGCCTACACGAGAAATCCATAATACTATGATTACTAATAAGCAGTTACATGAACATGAACATATTCCAATGGTTAATAAAAAAATAAACAATTAATTTACGACGATTATTAAATACTCATGAAAATAATCAAACTGTTATCAATGATAATTCGAATGGGTGACAAGAGAAGGCAGTGTATGTATCCATTGACATTTGGATACGATGGCTATTGTGTAAATGTGTCTTTTTCTCGCTTTATTATTTTGTTGTGTGTGTTTATTTTACAAGATGCTTTTTTCTGAATGATGTTAGATGTTTTTTTTTTTCTTTAATTATATTGTGCAACGAGTAAGCTATATACATAAAAATGAAGAAAGCTGAAATAACTAAACACGAATGCTTTATCAAAATGGTAATAAGCAGCAATCTAGTATTATTATGTCATATAGTCAACAGAGATATACCATGTACGCATTTAATGGTATCTTTCATGAATTTATCGAACGTTATTATCGTGTGAAGAGAAAACTAGTCTATTTTCAACACGTAGATTTTTTGTCACTTACTAAAAATAAAACATGCAGATATTTGAATGTGTATGTTAACTTTGACAAATGGAACGACATAAATTCCCCGGTGAGATCGAACGGTAAATTACAAGATTTTCTGTTTAGCATCATTTAAAAATGTGACAATAAGACAAATGTGCGTAGAATATTTTGTATTTGATGAAAACCATAAAAGCTATTTTACTCTTACCCATCGAAGCGAAAAGTTAGTTTTTTTTAATATATGAGTATGTGCATAATTGAAAATAGCATAGTCAGAAGAAAGTAACATATAGAAAAAAGACGAGTCAAGAACTACTCTTATCAGTGTAACAAAAAAGAATGATTAGATTGGAACAAAAAAAAAACAGAAAAAGCACGAAGACGTGCGTGTTACTTAATTTGTTTGTCTTAAAAACAAAATCTATCGAACGAATAGTTGGACAGGACTGAAGAAAGGTTAAAGAGTGAGAGTAAGACAAAAAAAACATCACTCTCTTCTTTTTCTTTCTTTACAATACATTAAATGCCATTCGTTTATGTTTCTTTTCGCGATTACTTTTTCTCATTGAAGTAACAAACATCAAGAGCAAAAAAAGAAGAAAAAAGACACCAGTTATTCAATCTGATATACATGTATATGATCATTCATACAGCTTCTTTTCACTGATGGTGTCATATGTATTGCTATTAGTTTTCTACAAGATTATTAATTGAAATTATCTTAGGATCTATAAATAAACAAGTTTTTTAAAGAATCATATAATTATGAGCGATCATCAAGGATATACAGTAGCACGTGGCGTAAGTAATTAATATTAATATGGCATTGTTCTTTACAAAAGATATGGTAGAAGTTCAATTAGCTAATTAGACCGATATTCTTAACAAGAAAAAAATGTATAGATGTTGTTATTTAGTTTTTCCTATGTCCTTGATTTTATGTCTTAGCATATATTTTTAAAAAAACAAACACATAATAATGAATAGTAGGAAAAGAAGAATGGAACTATTTCTTTAATTTATGGTAATTGAATTATATTGAGATGAAAAAAAAACTATCTAATAATAGTCATATTACAATGTAAATATTCATCTCAGCTAGAACTTTATATATAAATGAAAATTTTCTAATAAGCTATTCAATAGATCATCAATAGTCACATTTGATCAAATATATTGATTCTCAAATAAACAAATCTTCTTTATTCAATAGGTTTTAATGCCAACTCAAATCTTTATCATTCCACCGAAACATCTTCGAACACAAAAACCGATAAAAACGCCAAAAAGTGATAGATCTACTCAAGATGAAAAAATTTCTCAATCAGTACCTAACACTCCAAGTAATGAACAAGCAAAATCTTCAAGTGACAATAAACTAGCAGTAATAAAAATAATTCCAACTGTACGTATAAGTCCACCTCAACCAATAATTGATAGTTTATTTGATTGGGATGATGAAGATCGATGTTTTGGCCAAGGACCAAAATTTGTTCGACATCGACAAAAACAACAACAAAAACAAATATATGAAAAAAATCCTCGAATTCAAGAAGATGCAGGGCAACCACAACAACATGCTACTCTACCAGCTATTGTTTCAGCGCCGATAGTTGAACTACCTGGTGCACAATCAACATCAAATGCAAATGATTATACCACAGTAAAACGAGAAGGGAGTGTAGATGTAGGTGATTTACAAGGACAAACATTACTTCATTTAGCTGCTAAACTCGGACATGAAGAAATAATGAGAATGTTAATTAATGAAACATCACATGCTAATAGTTTATTAAATACTCGTGGACAAACACCATTACTTTGTGCTATTGAAGCTGGATCAACATCAACAGCAACACTACTGATGGAACAAGATCCATTGTCATTAACATGTAAAGATAATATTGGTTCTAGTGTATTTCATTATGCAACTGAACATTGTAATGATATTGTTTTAAGTCGTGCTATTGCATTACTTAAACGACTCAGTTCAAGTGCTGCTAGAGTGACTGTAAGTTATAAAAAAACCTCGATCTGTTTTGTTTGCTCTTTGATGATTATAGTGTATATATATATTCGTTTATCCTTTTCAAGGCTCTTCAACGACTTATTGAAAAAAATGCCAACGGTAAAACACCATTCGTTATTGCAATTGAAAAGAGTTCATTGAAATGTATTAAATATATATTAAGTAGTAAATGGTTACATCGAAATGCTGAAATCGTAGATTTTATAAATGCTGATTCATTAAAAACAACAATTGATAAAGATCAATTAGATATAGCTTCATTTTTTGTTTCTGATACACGTCGTTTTGCTGCTATTATTCAAATAAAAATTGATGTTAATGGACGTGCATATAATGTATTAGAATATTCAATAGCATTAAAAAAACCTGATTTTGTTCGAACATTTATTAGCGTAAGAATTCCAGGTGATGAACGAGAACTTTATAGATCATATAAAAATTTTTTAAAACATTATAATGTTGCTTATTCTGGTTCAAGTTATGATCAGACACCAATACAAAGAATGTTAACTATGGTATATTTTAAAACTTAGAAAATCTAGCATTGCTAAGAAAATCATTATAAAAAAATTGAATGATTGATGACAAAACCAAAAAAAAAAGAATAGTCTAGAAAAACAATACTTTAAATATATTGTAATAACTTTTACCAAAGGAAAAGAAGAATGAAATCTGTGAAAAAAATTCGTTTCTTCTTTGCACGATACTGAAGAAATTCGAACTGTCGTTTTTTATTTGCTACACGCATGAAAATGTTTCAATCTCCAGCCAATATATTGTAACTGAAGAAAAAAAAGATAATTGTCTCATTATCATCCTTGTCTTCCGTTAAATAGCATAAGCATATAAACAATTTACTAAAACTACAGTCTCAATCGGATTATCCTCTTTAAATAGTAACTATATTTGAATTCTACAAGCGAGTGCTCTTCGAATTTATCCACAAGATTCTTTCTCTTCTATGCGTTTAATTTATGTGAATATCATTGAACTTTTCTTTTGTTTTTATTAGGCGGAAATGATTCCATTAGTTCCACTACTACTCGAACAATTTATTGGTGAAGATGGTATTGATTTATCAGTTGTTGATGATTGTTTACGAGCACGTCCAGCACCACATCGTTGTATGTTTGGTCGTTCAAAACGATTTTCAACATCAAATTGGCTTAAACAACATCCATTATCATTAATTGCTGAAGCAAATCATGCACCAGTTTATGATCATGATGTTGTTAAAATTTGTGTTGATTTAAAATTTCAATTATTTGGAAATTTTTTATATTTACTTATTTTATGTGCACAAGTTTCATTTGTATGTTTATATACTGGTGTTGCACTCGGTTCACCGACACCGCCTCATTCCTATTATGATGTATCAAATATAACATGTAGACAAATGTGTTATAGATTAACATCAGATCTTAATAATCCTTTACCACGCAATGTTTTACTTCGTAAGTTTCTATAATATTATTGTTAATTAAATAAATAAATAAATAAATATTTTTTTTTAGAGTTTTCACGCATTTTATTATTAATTTGTTCTTGTATTGCATTATTAAAAGAATTTTTTCAATTAGTAACTCAACGTGAAAAATATTTTCGTGGTTTTTTTGTTAATTTTCTTGAGTTACATACATATGTATGCGCAATTTTATTTGCAATAGATCTTAATAATTGTACACAACATACTGGTCTTCGTTGTAAATGGCAATGGGAAGCAGGTGCATTAGGTATGGCTAGTGTATGGACATTATTATTACTTGTATTTATGAATGCTTTAAAAATCGGCAAATATGGTCTTTTATTTGTTAGTGTATTTTTAACATTTTTAAAATTTTGTCTTATTTATGTATTTATATGGATTGGATATATAATTGCATTTCATATGTTATTTCTACATAAAAAACCACAATTTACATCTATTTTTTATTCAATACCAAAAACATTAGCTATGCTTACAGGAGAATATGATTTTGATGATTTATTTTTTCCAAATGGAAAAGTCTTACAAGGAAGTGAAGCAGCTATGGTACTTTATTCAACATTTGTATTTACAATGAATATTGTTATTATGAATATTATGGTATGAATAAATAAATGAATTTCAGAAATTAGAAAAAATATTTATCTTATTTAGGTTGGTCTTGCAGTTTCAGATGTAAAACGTTTTCGTTTAAATGCTAAACGTGAACATTTACGTGCACGTATTGAAACATGTCTTGGTTTACAAGCTAAATTTGGTCTTTTATGTGAAACTTGTTCTCGATTAGTGCTTGCATTATCTAAACTTAGATTATTTCCATATTTTCAAAACCATGTTACAAAAATCCATGGAATTAAAAAATATTATCTATGGAAATTAGAATTACGTACACCACGTGTTTGTTTGCCACAATCAACAAGTATTTCAACATCTGGAAATAGCACTAATCAAACTCATAGTAATATACCATTAACTCGAAGTTTGAGGCATCATTCACCAAGAGAATATGTTACATGTGAAGTTGGATATTATCGACTTCATATTGATCGTGCTGGTGAACCATTATTACAAGAAAATGATCAAATACGTTTAATGCATAAAGCTGATGAATTACGTGATGTTTTTGAAAAAGCTAATTCACGCATTCATAATGAATTAAGAAAATTAACTATGTCATTACAATCAGATTTTGATGAAATCAAGAAAAAATTACTTGAAAGTTAATTTATTTATTGTCTCATTGATTCCTTTTTTTTGTTATATATAAACAAGTGTTGAGAATCTAAATCAACTCGTCTTTCCCTTTATCAACAAAAAAAAAAAGAATGTGATATTTTCATAATCTTTAATCATGCTATTTGATGACATTAGTGTGTTGCTTTTTTATTTTTTAAATTGAATGTGTTGTATGGACAAATTGTTAATACGATCAATATGACAATAGCTATATCATTTCATTTTATTTATAATAATAAATAAATAAGAACTTGTTATGCGCTTCACTCATATTTTTTGTAATAGATAGTTTTCCATTTCATACATAAGATGACATAAAAAGTTTAACAAAAAAACAAAATATTTTTGATTTTTTTCTATATTATTAAGCAATAAGCTCAAATCTAGATAATAATTTTAATAGATAATGGGATTTTTCTATTTGATATATTTTGTACTGGGTGAATTTAGATGGTAAGATTTCTAGAAAACCATAAACGGTAGTTTTCAGGTTACAGAACACTATTTTTTAATAATGCGATTTTCAAGAGAACACTTTTCTTCAACACTTAAAGTATCACAAATAACGAAAAAAAGTGTTTTTAGAAGGGAACCCATCGAAACTGACAACCCGCTTTGGAGTTCATATTTTGTTCATAGTTAGAACTCATAGTGTAGATAGTAATTCTGAAAGGGTTCATATCATTAGGTATTTCTTTTCGAGTTATTGTCATTTTACTGAACTTCCAGACCTATTGCAGAAAATCACGAGAAAAATCGCGACACCGAGTTTCGTCTTGAAACTTGCTACAACAATATCTCTCATGATCTTTATGATATCCTGACAGTTTCAGCTCAGACAGATGATTTCTTCTTAAAATATCGCATTAAAGACAGAAAATGAACTCAACTCGAACTAGATGGCATTTGAGTTCCATTCGATTATGAAATGTGGTGCGAAGCTATGAATGTCGATCATCGAAAAACTCGATATCTCATGAAAAACGAATAATGGTTTCTACGATTATTCGCACAAAGGCTTTTTCCACGCGATTCCAAAGAATACTGTCGATTTATAGTTTAATTATCGATATGATTCATGATTGCTGGTCAACTGTCTTTGCAGCTATAATGAACAAAATCAACTAATCGAATAGATTGATGATTAACTTTTTATATTGTCTTGATTTTAATCATCTTAAAGCTTGAAAAATAATAAGATTCACAAAAATGAAGTAGTCGCTATAAGCAAAATCATCCATAATCCATTCATAAAATTCAATTTTATCTAAACTATTTTGCCATTTTGAATGTCAGAAATTTTTGTCTAATAAGATCAAACCTTTTAATGCATTTTGTACTATATACCAGGCAACCAAATTATAGAATATTTTCATGGAAAATCAGTTTTCGATCCAATGGTATATGGACATGTGAGAAACGATTATTCTTACTTTTTGTCTTTCCTTATATAAGAATACGATTCATCTTGCATACCACGAATGGATTCCCCTGATGAATATCATCTAGTGCTCTTCTCCAACGATTGTAGTCCACTTCGAATTTCATATCAATCGATAGATCTGGATGAGATCTACCAAATAATGCTAAGAAATCTACGAAAAAAGAAGTGATAAAGTATGTCTCTTTCTCAAAGTACTCAAAACAGCGCTATGCTGAGTATTGCTATGTATATCTTTAAATAATGGTGTTAGAATTTTTATTGACTGGAATAAATAGATCTACCTTATATTATATAGCAAGTGTGGGTGCGAAATGGTATGCGTGTTGAAGAGAATATTTATATTCAAATCAGAAAACGTGAACTTTGTTTATACACATCAACATACATTGGGAAGATTTTCTTTGTATTAAAATAAATCAACAGTTTTTTTCGTTTTCAGTTTTTTTCTCACAATATAATCACAAGTATTTTGCATTCGTATTAGTAAAAAATATGTCGCATGCGTCGTATTTTTCAACACGAAATGCCTATTACAACACATTGGTCAGCAAGCTTGTAGCATATTCTGAAAAATGTGATTCGAATCTGTCGTTCGGCACAAATATTATTTTGTTCTTGGTGGAAAATCGAATAATTACTATTTTTCCAGTTAAGCTTGAATTATTAGTATCTACTCTTGGAGTATGAAACGTTAAGATCCTAAGATTCAGTTGCATCAAATCGATTTGATTCTGATCAGATCACTTGGAAGTAGTTCAATCTTAATCATTAATTAATTTCTCAACATGTTCTCAACTAAATGTTCATTGAAGAATAATCTAGAACAAAAAAAGATGTAAAAAAATACATAAATTTAGTATATTTTGTTTTCTTGCTTATATCTCACTGTATACGCCAAACAAAACGCTGAAGCAATGATAAGGCAAGAGATCACGACACAATTTCGTGGTATAATCTCCGATACATTTTATTTTAGTGCGTTGATAGAGCCAAATACGAGAATTCAAATATATCTCTGATAAAAAATATTTCACATTGTATCATATTTTTTTTCAAAATGGAGGTCATTAGAAAACTATGTCGTATTTGTATCACTCAGATACTTTGTTACGGTTCTCATATACGACTCTGCTACAGAGTATTTACGATCATAAATAGTCTAATACGGCTCGCTTACATATTGTATTTTGTCATAAACCTAGTCTATGATTTACGATCGTTTTTTTTTTTGTCGTATATACACCATATTCCCAAAGCGTATATGGTTAACGTCAACAGCTGTACAGCATCGCTTGCTATTGTAATTAAATGAGCGTTACATACTGATCAACTTCGTAGTCAAATTAACCTCAGTGGATCTTAATTTAGAACTTAGCTGGATAATACTGGTTATGAAATGATCAACCTCAGTCAACATTTAAAATGTCTTTTGGAATGATTGACTTTGAGATTACACATAATGCACATGATTGGAAAGCTGAAGTTACTAAAGAAGAGTCGTCTGAGCACTATCCTGTTTTGATCAAAGTACTTCTATCAATCGAAGTAAACAATGTTTTTCGTTAAACTAACTGGAGAATATTCTGGTTTTTCTTAGAATTCGTTTTTTGACTACTGAAACTCTCTTGTTTCTAATTTCAATATAGATGCTCTTTTTTGAACTTTTCTCTTCCATTCTTTCTTCTACGTGGGACACAGTGAGTGAATACATATCGGTCAAAAAGTATCGCCCACTATGACCAGCATTTCTCGTACAACTAGCAAAGAAACATAACATGACACAAAAAACATATAAACGAACAGAGAGAAAATTATCTATCCTTGAAAAATATCTATTTAAACGAAAAATCATTATCTCTGTCGAAAATAATGGACAGTAAATTATCCTATATTTCTCAAGAGAATAGTATATGGAAACACGTCCACACTACATTTCACCCTCATATACCAGCGTTTAAAAGTCTTACTACTGCTACCGATGTTATAAAAGTTCATCAGCTAATTGTTGATATTCTTGCAAATTTTCGCAAAACATATTTTGAAAGCTCCTTGTCCGACTGTAATAGGGCAGTTCATTGAGATGCATAAAAAGAATATGAAACTATTTCTCAACTACTGAATATTTCAATCGAAGAAAAATCTCATTACAAGAAGTTGAAAAAAAAACTGGAAACACATGCACAAAAAGAAATCAACAGATAATGAGATTTGTCCGTTTTTTTAATTTTATCAGCTTCCAACTAAATTTCACATTCGATCAATATATTTGTTTCTGTTTCTCAAGGCTCAGTTCTGGCAGCTACATTCTTCCGACTATATATCCATTTCTTTCTTCCTTCTTCATAAACCTAGTATATCATATTTTTTCTGACGATCTAGCGATCGTTATATTTGGGAACTCTTGAGAGCCGCTTCTCTAGAACGATTGTCGAAGTAGAAAAAAAAGCTGAAATTGTCATGAGTATATTAGCGAAATACGCAGATGATAACTTACTACCAGTAAATATTAATATATAAGGAAAATTTATCAAACTTTTTAAGAAAATAGCCATTTCTCTAATTCAACTAAGAAGGAAGATGTGCTTTGTTTATGCTTGTTTGTATTTAATCTGCCTTTTTTTTTATGACAATTTTTTTTATATCGATGTACAACAAAGATTGATTAAACACGTTCTATTACTTAGAATTGTGCGTAACAGATAGCCTTAATTTATCAAATAATCTTACAGTTAATATATTAACAAAAGAATATACAAAAAATGACTGTTTAATATGAATAACTTGAAAAGATTACGGCTAATTCATCGTCAACATCTTTTTTGATCTTCACGAAACTAATTAACGTCATCTTTGAACTGTTCTAAGATGTAGACACCGAAAATAAAATATATTTCATCATGAATAATTGTCGCTTGAATCCAGAGTACACCTTAGGATTTTTATGGAAGCCAAATTTGTCTATATCTATCTAAATCAGAGATGAACAGCTTTGATTAATGTTCTTATATTATCACATCAAGTGAAGAATGATTCAATACTATATAGTTATGCAGCACTATTTGGACTATCAGTCTATGTAGCAGGTATCAACATTATTTAACTATAGTAGATAATTTTATATTCTTTTGTGTATACCTTAAAAACTGAATAAACTAGAATCATCTGGTTCGCGTCAGATTACATCTTATAGTCTCTAGTACATTTAGAAAAAAAAATTCAGATGAATCCATCAATCTGTTCAATTTTTATTGGTGATACAATCACAAAATGCCATTTTTCATTCTTTCAAAAGTATCCAACTACTCATTTTTCAAGCTGTTGCACGCCTGTTCTATTTTGAAATTTTTTTAAATAATATTTGATTCAATAGAAAAACGTGCGGTCTCCATAATTTCCATCAATATATGATTAGCAAGAGCAGTACAAATTGCATCGAATATTCTATTTGAATAGAAATTTCATGTTGAAAAATTGTTTTACTCGTCTTCTATGTAATTTATAGGTAACTTTTTCCTGTAAGAAACTCTTATATTTGAAATAAAAAAAAAAATTATATCACCTAAATTATATGCCTTGCTTAAACCATGAATATCAGGAGTAAAAGCTTACCGTAATCCCATGTACATAGTAAATGAAATTTAGAACAACGCGCTGTATTAAGTTTCATTTGACACATTCTTATTTGATGATATATACATCCAACTTGTTGTTGAGACTGAAATAAGTCTTTTTTTATTCCTAATATTGGTAGCATAACAAAGGTGAAGCGCTTAACAGAAATAATAGGTTTTGATTTCAAATATACGAATTTCGTACGAAAAACGATACTATACAAATTCTGCTCTGTTAAAACAACTTTTATCTTCTTCGATGCATAAATAAGACAGTACAAGGCCGTCTTTCTGTTTTTTTTTCTGACTCTCCATTGCTGAGATCATTGCAACAGAAAAGGATAACTTTTGATGCATATGTCTAGTAAGTAAAAAGAACGAAAACTCACAAAAGACTACATGAATGCGATTTGAAGCGATCTCAAATCTCGGCGATGAGTTTCAATTCACATAAGAACAATAAACGATTTCATCTAGAGTCAATATTATTCTGTGAAAGGTTTTCCTTATAGGTTCTGCTAACAACAGTTCACTGAACACTACTTCACCATTTTCAATTATTTCGGGTAAAAAGATGGAAGCTAAATCGTTAAAATTATTATTTTGCGGAACTTACTGAAGATACCAGAAAACTCATATTGAAGTCTCAAAAACTTTAGTATCTTCTCCAGACATGAATCTTCCTGACATAGTTCAAACGATTTTCTAGCAACTCGCCATTTTCTAGAATATCGTGATAAAAACACTGATTTTGTTATAGTAAAAACATTCATAGTATGGAAGCCGAATGCATGCGCGAGTGACTACAGAAATGTTGTGCTTTGCATTGCATTGCATTAAAAACGAATCCTAACCAATGTTTTAAAATATACTCAAACCGAACTCGAACCAGTAAAACTCTGTTCGATACAGTTTCTATATCATATACCTAAAAACTGGATTATTTTTGGGACTCTTGTGTGAAAATGATGGTTTGGGCAAACGTGTAATTTCAAAAGAGAAACATCCGTTTGAGCTGAAACTATCAGGATATCATAAGAATTATGAGAGTTATTGTTGGAGAGGATTTCAAGACGAAACATCTTTTCGTCACTCGCCCTTTCAGAATTTTTTTGTCTACACTATGAGTTCAACCTATGAGTAAAGTATGAACTCCAACAAATATTCTCAGTCGGATGAGTATTCTCCTAGAAAAAGAGCTTTTTTGGTATTTAGATTTGAGCTAATTTCTTAATATTATAGAAAAAAAAAATACACGATTGTAAAACTCTTTTTCACAACCTTACATAAATAATTATTTACCGGATGCATCAAAAATTTTTAGACAAAATACTACTTCATTTTTCGGCTGATTAACAGGATTCTCAGAAAGTATTCAACACTTGGTTAGAAGCAAAATGTTGTGCACTTTCCAAATTTTTATGAGACAAATAGATCAGAAATTATGAGCAAATCTTTGAAAATCCTAAAAATAAAGTTTTAATGATTTTCAATGCTTAATAAAACGTCCAGGATGGAAGTAACATTTATTCTATAGATTCAAAGCGGGATTCAACTAACGAAAAAGAAAATGAGATTAAACGAAATAGTCGTTTTTATGAAAGTTACGAGAAAAAAATATTAAACAACAGCATGAAATCAATTTATTCTAGTCAAATGTTTACTACTTTCTATCGACTCTCTTAATTGATCGACAAGCCAAGGAACATTTTGTCTAAAAACTTTCGACATATCCGTTAGTAAACAAAGGATTGCATATGAGACATTATAAATGTAAATATAAATCAGCACGACGAAATCATTTTAAAAATTTTATATCAATATGTTGGCTGTCATTTGGCTTCATGATCGTAGAAATAATTTGAAAGTTTGAAATTGATTACATTGTATATTAATTCAACTCTATATATTATAGTTCTATCATGAACAAATAAATATGACATATGTTTAAATAGAGATTGACTACAGATTAATTTATTTACGATATAGAAAAATGTGTCAATAATCATCAGTTAAATGTTTTATTGTAGAACTTATAGAACGATGTACTACAATTTGATGACTTATTGATAATTATATGATTATATATATTCTTTTAAAAAATTTCAAAAAAAAATCTATCTATGCCTCAGATAAATAAGTTGCTCTGTGTGAAAACTAATCATTATACAAATATTTTTTCTCTCTCTTTTTCTCTCTAGGTCATCATTGTCATTCGTATTAGTAGTTCAAATTACTATGTTTATAGACAGATATGTATGACGAAAAGATTTAAAAAGTATGATAGCATTAATTACATGTTCGTGGGATTAATATATTTCAGTTCACATCAAGATTGTATGCCTGATTACATTGTTGATCATGGGTATTCATGTTAACCATCATAATAATTCCGATTAGGATTTTGCAAAATAATAGTTGGTGGTTTATATGAAAAAGAAAAAAAAATTGGTCGGCAATGCCCTATTCATAAAATATTCATAGAAGAATCTATTTGAATAATAATAAAAAATTGTTAAAATTACCCGCTGCGATGATTTAGACAAATTCTTTTATTAAGTTAATTGCTGATTTCTTTTCTATTCATGTCTGCTTCGTTCTATTGACTTATATATATATGTTTAGTGATTACTAAGCATTGATGGTACTGTTTTTGTATCTTTTAATGATGTGATTTTAAAATTGATCTAATTACTTGAAAGTAATTTCCTATTATAAACAATTATTTAATATTATAGATCTTAATAGTGGCAATAATTGAGCTTAAACTTCAGGCGAACTAATTCATTTATTTAAAGAAATACAAAATTGCAAGTAATACGAATTATAAGAAGGTCATTGATTTTTGGAAAATACAATGAACTATATTAATTGTTTTTTTTTGCATAGACGTGCCTGCGAAATAAACTTTAATTTAGCACAACTAATAATCATAAACATATTTAAATAAAGAAAAGAAAAATCGTTTTCGAAATTTAAATCTTCAACCAATGACAAAAAAAATTTGTATAAGAATATTCATACAAACAAAAAGATATACCATGTGATAGAAAAATTCTAGAGCTGCATAATTGCCTCAAGCATCCAAAGAAAACAAATTAGGCAAACAAAAAAAGAAAAAGAATGAGTATAGCAACAAATCAATACAAACACATTTCATACGACTCATTCTGTGCTCTCTAATAAACGTAAAACATATAAACGTTTAAATTCCATTGTTTTCGTTACAATGTACTCTTTATATAGTCATTTTGAGGATGATAAGATGGATTACCACTGTATCTTATGGTGGGACCAGGTCCCATTGTTGATGGATGATGTCTTGTTAAAACAGTATTAACTGGATCAATAGTAGCAAAATAATCATAACCTGTATAATAATGTAAAACACGTGGCTCTTGTTTTTGCTCAAATCTTCTTTCAATTGGATTTGTTCGATTTGGTTGATAATAATCACGTTGAACATAATCAATTGTAGGTTCAGACGCATAACCAATCGATTGATTCATTGCATTTGTTCCTGTTCGACGCCAATGTGGTGGAGACGGACGTGGTTGATATTGATAAGGTGATGATGGTATTCGATAAGGTTGTGGTGGAACTGGTATTGATAATTGTGGTGGCATTGTTGTTGCCGATGGTGATGCTATAAGATCAGTACGATTGCGTTCAAAACTTTGATATGATTTTAATTGTTGCTGTTTTTGTTGGTATTGTTGTGGTAGTTGCTGTTGACTAGTTAGATTAGTTTCTTGAGTAGTCGTAATGGATGTATAAGGTGTAAGCGATTTATGATTAGGATTAGATATATAATCTATATTGACACCACCATTAGCTACTGTTGTTGGTAAATAATGATTTGGACGAAGTACTTGGGGATAATCATAAGGTTTATTTCTTTTTTTCTTATCTCGTCTAACAATAACAAACGTTGATGGACTTAATGTTGTTGGATAACCATTAAGATCAGCAAATGTTTCAATAACATTATCATCGTCAACAGCTCTTTACACGATAATAAAAAGCAAAAATTTATAATAAATCAAATACAATAATAGAAAAAAAAAATACAAACAGGTAAACTTACCTAATTGGCTTTTTCAAGAGTACATCATAAATAGATAAAAGTATAGCACCTAAAAGAACAAGTATAACGGCAACCAAATTTACATAAAAACACCAATCAAGATCACGTGGTGTTGTTGCAACATTATATACAGAAAAACCGAAGACAAATAATACCGAAATACCAATGGCGACTGAAAATATAACAAAATGTATTATCTTAAAAACGTTTCAATCATTTTTAATATCAAATTCATTACCTGCTGGCCAAATGCAAAACATAGATAATATAGCCAAATAGTAATGAAAACCATTTCGAAATCGATAACAAATAATAGAAGCTATAGCAATAATTAATGTTGCCGTTGTTAAAAACAGAAATACAATTTCAAGAGCTTGCCAGGCATTAATACCGCCTTGAAAAAAAAAATAGACAAGACATGACATGTCAATATATATATACAGAAAAATCATCATATTCAATTCTTTACTTTTAGATTCATTAAGACGACGGTCAATAAAAGGACTATTAGGTCCACTAGTAGAAAACCAACTATCGCATGTATTATTTGCATAAAAACATAAACGCCAAAGACCATATCGAACTGTATAACCCTCAAAATTATCATGGAACCATGCATTTTCAACAGCAAAAACAATGATCAATGCAGCTACACTTAGAATTAATAATAAGATAGTTAGAATAAGAAACCACAGGAGACTTATTTGCTAAAAACAAAATACAAAGATAATAAAATGTATTCAGAAAAAGAAAACGAAGATCTTGCCGTGTGTAAATTTCGTTTCATCATCTACAAAAACCCGTCGTGTGTGCATATATTTATTTTACAAATGGTCTTCTCGCAGTTAAACTCAAATTCATCTAAATTTGGCATCAAACTTTGTGGCAAACATACTTATGCAGACACGCACACACATACGCACACTTTTCGATTTCCGTTTCGATCACGCTCACTCAAAACGTATGAAACAACAAAAAAATTGAAAAAAGTAAAGTGCAACCTTTTCTTCTTTTTCTTTTACAGATTTCATTTCTTTTAAATGAAAAAAAAGAAGAAAATATATATGTAAGTGAGATGAAAAACACTGTTGACATAAATTTCATTCAAATAATGCAAATGACATGAGGAAAGAAACGAAACGTGCAATAACTATATAATTTGACAATACGAAAATCTTTCAGAAAACGAAAGATTAAACATTTATTGAATAATAAATGAAAAATTATATTGATTCATATAGAATATTTTATTTTGTTAGTACAATGAAAAACCACAATTCTCTTTTTGTTCATCGATCACCTATAGAACACAGCAGTACTTATGCTATTCAATCATGCAAACTTCTTTTTTTTCATCAAGTACATTTAAGATGCATCTTACTTGCATTATAGTCAGACATCTTTTTTTTGTTTTCATACATCTTTATTTTAGAGCTTCATTATATTCTTTTCTCTCTTCATATAAAAACGAAAAATAAACATTCATTATGTTTTTCTCGTACGTTTACTAGTATATTAGTAACCGTAGGGTATAAAACAAAATGTTTACTTACTCGAGCAGGATAATAACTTGGATAACGAACTAATGGTGGCCAGTTTGGTGGTGTTAATCGATCGTTGTAAATCATGATTTAAAAGACGTGGAAACAAAACAATTGTAGGAAGACTTTTCTTTTTATCGTTTCATAGATTAGTTTATTCTTTCAATTTTTATTGGTATTGATCGTGATCATAAGCATGTAGGCAGTTGCAGAGAAAAAGAATATGGGCGTCTATTTATATATGTTTTACGGTTAGTGTGATTGTTATTATATTTTCACTTCTATATATAAATAAATACGAAAATGATTAAGAAATAAAAATAAAATAGAATAAGAAAATAAAGCAAAAAGAAAAAAGAAAAACCGATTCAAGTGACGTTTATTGTTGTTTTATTCTTATATTAATAAACGTTATTTTACATTGAAAACTCATATTTCTTTTCTAAATAAATTTTCTTTCTTTTTTTTTTTTTCTTTTTATTCATCTTTTTCTTTTTCAAAGGCGATTAAGAATATTCAGTCTCTTAAAAATACACAGGCCATTGAAATGAAGAATGCTTCTCAAACATTATTGTTGATTTATTCTCGTTTTACATCCGATTACAACAATAAATATGGTGGATAATTTTTTTTCGTACACACACATGCCTCCTATTTTTGTTGCTTAACAAGCTATAATAGGTTTTAGGCAACTTATAATACAAAAAGAAAGAGGTGTACATCAGAGTATTTTTAAGTAAAGCAAAGCCACTTGAATCTATGAAGACTATTTTACCGTTTGCAAATATACGCCGACGTGAAAAACAATTAGTCTATCCACAAATTTTTTATCACCTCTGAATTCTTTATTATAATATTCCAATATATGAATTTTGAAAAGAATAACAAAAAAAATAGTCCAACAATAGAAAACATGTTGATTGATTTTTCTTTGATCTATTTTTCAAAGCGGATATAATATATATATGTTTGTATGTGCGTGCATGTCTATATGCAAACACAAAGATTAGTGGATAGAACTTCTCTATATTTGATCCTGAATGACGAACAACAGAGTAAAACAAAAGAAACTAGGAAACAAATGTTTGCTCCTGGAGATTTATTGTCGTGCTCCATCCCGTTCGATTTTGATTAACTGATAATCTCAGGCAATCATAAAAAGAAACAATCGTAGTTTTTTTCTTTTGTATTCCACTGAGTCGATAGACACAAAGTTTTTCACTAACACACATACACACAAACAAACACATATAGAAATGTTACGATCAAGGTTTCTATTAATACTTCTTTTCATTATTAAAATAACTTTATGTTTGGGATTTGTACAACGACGAGTAGAAGATAATGAAGAATTCAGCTATATGGTTGGACTATCTGAACCATTACATAGTACACTTGAATGGGATTATGATCAAACGGATGCGACAAGACTTATTTTTCGATGGAATATAACACTATTAAATGGTTATGGTGGTTTACTTGCATTTTCAAATGATGATTTATTTACGAATAATTTAGATGCTATCATATTAGATAATGATACAAAAATTTATAATGCTTATACAGATGAAAATAGTTTTTTATCTATACCAAAAGAGCGTGTTAAATTGAGTTATACTATATTACATAGTGAAAATGTTGAAAATAAAAGAAAAAAAGAATATTCAGTACGAATTATTCGACCATTTGATACATGTGACAGAGAAGAACGAAATTATATTATTGATAGTGGTACAACTCATTTATTAACTGGATTTATCATCTATGAAGATTTTCAAAAACTTTTACAAAACCAATCAATAAAACTTGATATTAAACGAATGAATTTAACATTACAACGTGTTCAATTACTTAAAACTCGAGTAAATTTATAATGTTTTTTTTTTTACTTTAATTGAAATTTTTTTATATAAATCTAGGTTAAATTTAATCGAATATCTGATGGAGAGCCACATCTTGATTTTTTAAATCAAAATGTAATTATACCAGATGTTGAAACAACTTATTGGTGTACACGTTTTGAATTACCATCAAATATTACAGAAAAACCTCATCATATAATTCGTTTTGATGGTGTTGTATCACCACAAAGTGATGGTATTGTACATCATATGGAATTATTTCATTGTGATGTTTCTTATAATACTAGTATACCAGCATTTAATGGAATATGTACAAGTGAACAAAAACCAATGGGTTTAACACCATGTCGTCGTGTTATTGGTGCATGGGCATTAGGTGCAACAAATTTTACTTATCCTGATGAAGCTGGTGGATTAATAGGTGGACCAACAACATCACCTTATCTTGTACTTGAAGTACATTTTAATAATCCTTATTTTAAAAAAGGTATTATTGATCAATCTGGTATACGAATATATTATACATCAAAAAGACGAACATATGATGCTGGTATAATGGAAGTTGGACTTGAATATAATGCTAAAAATTCCATACCACCAAGAACAAATGAATTTCGTATATCAGGTTATTGTACACGTGAATGTACTCAAGTAACTTTACCAGAAAATGGTATAACAGTATTCGCGTCACAATTACATACACATCTTAATGGTATAGAAACATTTACACGTATTATTAAAAAAAAAGGTGAAATTATTACATTAAATATTGATAGACATTATAGTCCACATTTTCAAGAAATTCGTCTTTTACCTAAACCAATTTTAATCGAACGTGGTGACATGATTTTACATACATGTATTTATAATACAGCAATTCGAAAAAATATGACATTTGGAGGATATGGAATAAATGACGAAATGTGTGTTAATTATATGCATTATTATCCAAGAACTAATCTTGAATTATGTAAAACAAGTGTAACAGATGATGCGCTCGATCGATTTTTTAAAACAATGAAAGAGTAAGTCTTATTGAGTAAGAAAAAGTTATTAGGAAAAAAATTATATTATTTTAGATATGATTATGCTAATACAAGTATAAGTCAAACAGTTTATGAAAATTATAGATCAATACGATGGACCCCATTAACTACAGCTATACTTCAAGAATTTTATGAAATTGCTCCAATTCATTTATCGTGTAATGGTTCGGATGGAAATTATGCATCGAGATTTGATTGGACTCGAGAATATCGTCCTCAAGAACCTAAACAACGTAATGTGCCACTCGATACAGCTGCTAAATGCCAATGAATATAGTTTTGAACATTGACATTCATGTATAATTTAAATGAAAAATATACTAGCTATCCATTATCATAATCACAAGAAAAAAACACATACACTAAATGATTCTAATCGTCTTCTCTTTTTCTTTGTTTCTATTAAATGCAACTTACTTATTTGATATTTGTGCAGAATGACAAGTAATTAAATGAACAGTATGATTGAGTAAAAGATTGCAGTAAATGGACGTAAAAAATTGAGTAGCAGTGATTTTTATTTATTGGTTCTTTATATATGTTGAAGAAGAATAAAGAAAAGAGTATTCAAAGAAAAAAAAGTGGGACAAATTTCAATAGAACCAGTGATTTGTTTTTGTCTCTATCGATTATCATAAATAACACCTATTTTCTCTTGCCCTCCTTCTCTCTCTCCTTTCTTTTTCTTCTCGTTCAAATTTTTTAACAGGTAGTATCGATCTTTTATATTTGTCTTGGCAAACGATTCATTTTTTAGTCATTCACGTATTCAACAGAGCCAATGATGATGTACATACCTGTATTCTTGTGTGTGACATGAATTTCTTTTTCTCCCTTTTCTTTTCTTTTCTTTGCTTCAACGATGTCGATTTTATTAAGCTTCTTTGGATGCCAACATGACGAAAGACATGAACAGTAAGCGAGTTCGAGCTATTTTATAAAGTACAGATTCTTTACTTTTCATCGTAAAGCAACGAACAGTATATGATATATCGATGATGCAATTATATTTTCGAACAGATACGTATGTAAAAAGTAAGCGTAAGATCGTATATAGGGCATCTTTGTGCTCCTAATGGAACAGTACACTTGACTAAGTGTGTGTGTCAATACTCTTAGAATTATGTATTGCACCTTTATATGAAAAAATTATGTAAAAATCAAACAACACGAATAGGATTTGAGGGCAAAGTCATTTAGTAATATACTTACAGATAAAAGTTATATGCCATCAAAGAATGAAGGCGGAACAAATTATCCGTCAAAGAGTATATTAAAGGGAAACAAACCAACAAAATAACATTGATTTTCATTTTTTCTATTAATAATAATAAAAAAATCCCGATGAATCCTTATCAAATGAATTAAATTTTATATAATCATCAGTCGTTGGATGAATGACATATACTTATAAATGAAGTTGCAACTGCATAAAAGTGATACAATTTAATACTGCATAGTTAATTTTATTCATGAAATTAATCATGATTTTCAAGTTGTATTGAAAACTACTTAGTAATTATTTTTACAAAGACCAAATTGATTTACAAACCAAGATCAATGACTTTACAAAAAAATATCAGAAGTAAAGTGAGTTTCATGAATCATATGAACAAATATGTCCTATCAACTCCGAATGAAAAAAAACAGATCATTGAAAATCTAATTTTGATTTGCTTCGGTTTTTTTCATATCAATCTAGCGACATACTTCTCAGTGGCATATTTAGAGATGGGCAGGAGCATGGGTAGAGCCTGTCAGGTTGGTTTGAGACTCGATCCGGTCCGGATTTAAACATCTTTGATTAACCAAGTTCGAGTCTGAATCTGGGCTCGGGTAAGAAAACTTTGGACCCAGCAAACTCTATTTGTTTGAGATATGTGTAGAGTGCGCTAGTCACCAAATACAAAAAAAATCGGCTAAAAGTATCTCGCATCTTCGGGACGACGATTCGATTTCGTCTAGTAAATTTTATGATAGTATCAAAATACTGTACGACCGGGCTCGTGTTCGGATCCAAAAAAGTTTGATCAACAGGGTATAGGTTCGGGTCCGAAAAATTTCAATCAATCGGATTCGGGTGCCGATGACGTTCAATAAATTGGATCAAGATTCGATTCTCGGAGGTGTTCAATAAATTGGGTTCGAATTCGAAAATTCTGGATCTGACAGCCTCTTGGCACTAAAGGTGATCATACTTCTCTTCTGAAATATTTTTCGATTTTTTTTTCTGCAAGAGACACCCAAAAATGAGCCGACACAATTTCTAATGAACTTCAAAACACCGTGGTCACTCCGCTTTCTCGAAATCCTAGATCCGTTACTGGTATTTCCTTCATTATTATCTGAAGATGACACTAGAAAAAACTTTCGATTTGAACTTTATATTCTTTTATCTATTTCATATATTTCAAAACACATTTTAATACACATATTTGATCAAAATTCTAATTCATTTAACATTTTTTTTCTACTAATATTATTTTTCATTATTCATGTTTATTAATATATGGTTCCCTAATTTATGGTCCAACAACAACATTTTATTTTGCCTCCAGACATGTTTGGTTGATTGATTGACATGCTGGCAGACATTAAATGACTCATCCTGTGTTAGTAAATTCTGCTTTACTTATGCACTCGATTCATAGTTTCGAAGCAATGGATTCAATGTAATAATTTAATTGTTGAAAATTCTAAATTTAATTTATAATCAAATGATATATTTTCCATTGAAAGCAAATTTGTGTAAACATGTGTTTTAGATTGAAAACGATTTGCTTGTGCTGTTCTCTATCATTGTCACTCAAGTGACTCTTGACTGGTTGGCTAGAATATGTCAGTTTTCCTAATTAGCATATGATAATTAGTTTTTTTTTAATTGTTGACTATATCCTATAAGAAACTTCTAGATTTATTCACTGATTCATGATTTCATATAGATGTCACCGGTAGGATATGTATCTGTGAGTAATTGCAAAAAAGAAATGTCTTTTAATCCTTCTCAGAGTGTATCATGTCTTTATCGGCAACATCGACTATGGCATCATTGCACAATCATATATGTTAACAAATTATTTACAAAGAAATCAAATGTAAAAAAGAAAAACTAACCATTTTAAATTTTACACTCCAAATGAGAAATATAAAATAATGTCAGTCTATGTTTCATCGTAAAATAAAAACATTATCTTTTTCTTTCGGTCATCAAATCGGTCACGTAAAGTTATCGACTCGTATTGTTTGTATATTATATACGCATTGAACTTATGATTTTATTTTACTATAAGGCGATATCCTAATATATGCTGGAAATTTAACAGATACAGGTAAACATAATGAATTGAAGTATTTGTTTTTTTGAATTAGTTAAAACTATAAAAAAAAATGCGTTTAAAAATATTTACAGCCGGTAATTATGGTGTTAAACTTGATAAAATATTTGATGAAACTAATCAGCAAAAGTTTCATGAAGAAAAAGAAAATAGTCAAGTAATTATAAATATGTTTAACTATTGAATACTTCGCAATTATTATGAAACTGTGTTTTTACAGATTAAATATTTATTGATAGAAAAAAAGTTCAATTAAAATTTTATGAATATTCTATTTAATAACAAAATTAAATTAAACACTTCTTCTTTTTATTTAGTCCATGGCAACCTGAATTTTATAATATTAAACATGATAGTGAAGAAATTCGTTCAACACAGAATAAAATTTCATTAGGTACATATATATTAATAATACATGGTTCACCATATGGAATTCTCAATTTAGCCATACGAAACAAACATATCGGTTATACAACATTATATGACCATATACAACTTATCAAACCAAAACGTCATATATTTCGACATATTGATGAATCCATATGGAAAACAACAAGATAATGAACAACAATCAAAAATAGTTTTTAATGTGGCAATATGCAATACACGTTATCAATCAGTGCAATCACCAATTGTTGATGAGTCTTTTGTTTTTGAAATTTTTCTATATATAAATTAGCTAGTTTTGATAAAATCAATATTCATTAGAGTAGCTATACATAGATAAATAGTTATTATTTTTTATTCTATTTATTAAAGAACAAAAAAATACATGAATCATGCTATTAAGACTATCATCTGTCTTTTTGATTAGTAAGATAAAAATCCATAGAAATGTCATGTCCTTTTGATTGATGTCACTCATTGGCTTGTCTATATATGATTTGATGTATCAGACAGTCTGAGAAATGTAATAATACTCACAAAATATCAGATAAAAATGTAAGAAAAAATAAGAATAGAAAAATAGCAGTTCGCTATGTTGCCCGCGATATTTCTAACATTTGAAATAAATATCTGGTGAATAGAACGAGTTGTTGGGACCGTTGTAATCATTTCTATTTCATCAGACTTTTAATAAACCTAATCATGTATTTTTCTGACAGAAATTTCCATTCTATTATCAAAACCTAAAAGACAATAATTGAGTCTAATTGACTTCCTGAAATCATCATGTAAATGAAAATGATTATTCTTAATTATTCAATAATATTTAGACGTATGTTTAGCAGCGGTAGAGGACGAAGCCTTCATCAGAAGCCTTTAAACCCAGCCTTCCGTCTTCCTCTAGAATCGCCACGACCTATCATTAACATTGGAAGAAGATATCTATTTTTAGCGTTAGACGAGAGCTCACGAGGAAACTTCCTCAAATGTCAAAATTTTTTTTTGGTCGAGACGTTGTAGTAATAGAAAATTTTATAATGGTTTGGTATTCCAAGTATTTGTTCTCGAGATATCTAAATTTTATTGGATTTCTCAACAAAACACTGTGGCAGCATGAAAAATCAACTTTTGACTTCAAAAATTGCACGAATAAAATTCCCGATGAATTTGATTCATTGGATAAATTATGACTTTTCTAATATCGCCTATGCTTAGATATTCAATAGTCGAAATTCTCTTATATATAAAAAGCTAATTTTGTTTATTTATTTACATAATAGAAAAGCTAAAGTTTGTCCAGTCAACTAATCTCATTAAGAATTTTGTTCATGCAAATTTTGAAGTCGAAAGTCGATTTTTCACGTAATCACAACCTTTTGATGAAAAGTCGAGGAAAAATTTCGATAATCCCAAGAACGAAAGTTCAAAAAAATAAACCATTCTAGATTTTTCTATTACTTATCAAATGAACATTGTCTCGATGGAAAAGCAATTTGACATTTGCAAAAGTTCCCTAGTCAGCCTGTCCTCGATAATTATCTCTGGCCAATATGCCATTGTTTTTTTATACTACAAAAAACAATGACTTGAGCCTCATTTTTTTAATTTTCACTACCAAAAAAACAAAAAGCAAAACGAATGTTGAAATGTTTTTTTTTTCAATTTCGATAAGAAAAAAGAATTAGCATATAGTATTTTATAAATATCGTTTTCTTTGCAATATTTTTTCAGATAAATTATTCCATCTAACAACATGGGTACATTAATGGGTCATATTTTACCTGGCACATTCTTTGCTATATTTGCTATATGGTGGGGTTTTTGTATTGCTGTAAAACATTTTCATTCTCGTCATTCAAGAAGTAAATTACGAAAACCAAATCCATATCGTGCATCGACAACATTTTCATGTTTATGTTGTCCATCATCAACATTACGACAAATGCCTCTTGAATCTTATTTAAAATTAATTTGTATAACTATTGGTATATTAGGTGAAACTGTAACTGGTCTTAAACATCCATATGATGATACATTAAAACGAAAAACTTGGACATTTGTTGAAGTTAATGCACAACATATAGCAATGTTTTTTTCATTTGGTTTTGCATCATTTCTTGAAATACTTGTTCATGCAAAATATAATTTACCAAAAGGAATTGAATTTTTAGCTAATATATTTGCATTTGCTATTGAAGGGTTTTTATTTCATTTTCATCTTCATGGTAGAGATGAAGTTGATATTCATGTTCATACATTACTTGTTTATAATATTATATTTTGTATTTGTGCCGGTATTTGGGAATATAATCGACCTAATCAAATTTTAGCTTCTTATTGTCGTATTGCTGCAACACTTTTACAAGGAGCTTGGTAAGAATAAAAAGAAACAAAGATTTTTGAATAGAAAATAATATTGTTTGTTTTCTTTTCCAATTATTTAAGGTTTTATGCAGCTGGTTTTATTCTTTACTTTCCATCAAATGATTCTTATTGGATATGGTCCGCAACTCATGGACATTTGCTAATATTAACTGTTATGTTTATATGGTTTGGCATATTGGCTTGTGTATTTCTTTTTATTCAATCAGCATTAGTATGGTCGATTTTAAAACGGCGTTATAGAGAACTTGCACGTTATAGTGCACTTAATGAAAACGATAATGATGATGAAATAGATCATGAAGAAACACTTGAAAATTCAAATAATCATCAATTAAAACCATTTAAAACAGATAACGGAAATACAATTATTAATATAGATAATCATGAAGAGGATGACAGTGATAGTCAAATCGAATTTGAACAGCAAAGAAAACATACGTCAAAAATATAATTCTATAACAGTCTGAAAATAGATTTCTGTGATGCACGTTTGTGTGTGTGTATTAAACGATCACTTTCTTTTTCTTATTTAGTTGTATTGAAAATCATCTCACGTAGCTTGATGCTTATTGTGGAGAGCTTTATTTGTTGTCTTTTATTCTATAAAATATCAATAGAACTTTGAGTCAAATCATATTCCAATGAATTTCGTAGAATCTCTTTGTCTTATTCGTTTTCCTAATCAGTATTTGTTTATGTATACCGATTGTGATGTTTTGTTTTATTATAACTATATATAATCATGTGTTTTCCTTGTGTTTTTGTATTATCGGAAATTTCAAATTTATGGTAATTAAAAAGCAAAAACGAGCAAAAAGAAAAATTGGAACTCATTAAAAATTCATTTTCTCTTTTTATTGACATTCATTTGTTTTTGTAGACAAGTAAATATTTTCAAAATTACATAGTTACAGTGACTACCAATATTATTCTACAAGGTTAATTTTTGCTGGCGTCTTTAGTGATGAAAAAAGAATTCAAATAGTGATTCGAATAGAGAAAATACAAGTAATAAACATATTCCTGAAAACGGATTGCTCAAACCATATTCTTTTAAGACTATAAGAAAAGAATGGTTAAGATAAAACATTCTAATTGAAGGTACTAAATTGAATTTTTTGTAGAAAAACGGTTTTTCCTAAGATTGGTATATGACAGCCAAAAAGTGGTTATGCACAGAGCTCGGAGAAATCTCATTTTGTAGAGGATTGTTTGCACTATCTTTTCGTATAGTGTAAACAAAATTGTATTTCCATATATCAAGTGCTAAAAAACTAAGAGTTTGGTTTTCTAGAAACTCTCTTTTTGGAAATATGACTATTACTTGTATTTTCTTATATATATTATTCTCTATTTAAATCACTATTTCGGTTATATTAAACGATTAAGACAGCTGTAAAAAAGATTTTAAATAAACCTTGCTGAGTAATTTTGGTGAGTGTTCTATGCATATGCTGTGATAAAAATTGAATTTTTTTCTTTTGATGAACAAAAAAAAGTACAATCTTGATAAAAGAGATTCTCGGTCCAGTTGGTGTCTGGTGTGTGGTTGTTTTGTTTTGAATGCGAATTTGGATAAGATTTCTACTCCATCCACACCGTGGATGTTCATCGCGGCTGGAAACCTACTGTTGCCGTGATGATTTTCAAGAAATTCTTGGAAGATTTCTTCCATAATTGTGCTAATTTAGCACAGTTAGATTGCATCCATCATATTCGCCACGGTTCTGCCTGTTGAACTTGTATATACCAAAATTGCGTGCAAATTCATACAATTGTACAATATCCCTGAAAAAGAAGTTACCACTACCGTTCCGTCATGTACATCTCTGACTCAATAGTATCACATCAACGCTCTCATATAATATTTGTTAATAAATTTTGACCATAATTTATACACGTTTGAATTCTTATGACATGCTGAAGAAAAAAATAGTTTGTGTTAAATTCATTATTTAACGGTACTTTATACAATATTTTGATTTTATAGTCAATGGAAAGGCTTTCTATAAAATGAATTGATCTCTAATGAACATGACAATAATAAACAAACGAGTATGGATTTCCTACAACGTAAAGTACTTAGCTCAAATCCATATAATAATTTTAATAGCCAACGGAGTTTTCTATATATTGCATTCCATAGTAGATGAACTTTGATGATAAGGTATTAAAAAAACTGAACAAAAAACTTTGTCGAAGTTATTTTTTAACAATCCGATTTTAATGAAAACAAAATGAGAGGCCGCCGAATTTTCCACCATCTTCTCTTAAAATGTTAAAACTATTACAAAAAACAAAATTTATTAAAAAATCGCTGAACATCTTTTGTTTTTCGGTATTTGCGATACTTTTAACTATTCAAGGAAAGGTGGTAGAAAATTCGATCATCCTGAATTTTGTTCTCTTTAAAATGGAATTGTTAAAAATGACTTCGACAAGGATGCATTTTAATATAACGTTATGATCATAATTTTTTCATTATATTAATTCACATAATATTCATTAAATAATTAAAAATTGTACAAAAATCTATCAAACATAAGCTAAATTTTATTTTAGATAAAATGAAAATATTTTTTCGAAATTTATTTCGTAAAAAACATTCTGTTGTTAATGATTTAAATACTCCACTATTACGATGTTTAAATCTATTTGATTTAATACTATTATCTGTAAGTGGAATGATTGGATCGGGTATTTATGTTTTGACTGGAGTTGTTGCCAAAGATCTAACTGGACCAGCAATTATTATTTCGAATTTATTAGCTGGTTTAGCTTGTCTATTTGGTAATGAAATAAAGACAAAAAAGAACGTTTTCTTTTTATTTTAATTATTTCTAATAGGTGCTCTTTGTTATGCTGAATTTGCTGCTCGAATTCCAAGAGCTGGTTCATCGTATATATTTATTTATGAATCAATCGGTGAAATACTTGCATTTCTTGTAGTAAGATTTTTCTTCTGTGTTTTTCACAAAAACAAATAACAACACATTTTAAACTATTGACTTTTTCTTTTCAAGGGATTTACATCGATTGTTGGTGGATTGACTGGTTTAGGTGTTAGTGCTCGAGTATGGTCGACATATTTTGATGCTTTATTCAATAATAAAATTCGTTCGTTTATTACTGAACATATTATTCATTGGCCAAATGCTCAAGCACCATTTTCTAAATATCCTGATCTATTAGCGTTTAGTATAACTATATTTATTGTTTTAGCTATGCTTGTTGGTTTACGAAATTCAAAATATTTAACAAATAGTTTAACTATTGTGAATATGTCTGCTCTAGTTTTTATTGGTATAACTGGATTTATTCTTGGTGATATACATAATTATCAATCATTTATGCCATTTGGAGTACAAAATATTTTTCGTGGTAGTTCTTTATTACTTTATTCTTATATTGGATTTGAAATGGCAACTGTTGCTATAGAAGAAGCAAAAGATCCATCGAAAACAGTTCCACAAGCTACTGTCATATCACTTGTTATTGTTACATCACTCTATTCATTAGCTGGAGCATCATTAACTTATTTAATTCCATATAACGATATTAATAGTGAATCATCATTTGCACATGCATATGGTTTATCAAGATGGCCATGGGCACGTTATATTATTTCTATAGCTATTGTATTTAGTGCTGGTGGGAATTTACTTTCGGGTACATATGGATGTATTCGTATAATGTAAGCTTTCTGTTTAAATAAAACAGTGTTTTTAAACAAAAATCGAAAAAAAATGTGAGAATAAAGAACTAATCTTGTATATTTATATCAATTATGTTTAACGTTAATTGAAATCTAGTAGGACCTAAGAAGTGGTAGAAGTCACCAGAATATTCATTTGAAATTTAGTCTGTGTTAGCAAAACTCGACCAACACAAAAAAAGAAAGAATCTTTAGATTTGTGTTTACTTCAATAGTCGATATTTTTTATTTTTGAAATCGATCTGACTTATTCATGATATATAAACTATGAATTTATAGTGTTGTTGACCCTATGAAGCAAATGATGATTTTTTTTGACGCTAAGAAAAACTAGATCGATAAAATATAGACTAAGGACATTCAGAATGATTATATTGCAGTTAAAAAAGATATAGGTTTTTTTTATAGAAATACAGAATGTCTCTAGGAATGGATATCTGGTCTTAGCGGCATAAATATATTACTTTTTTTTAAATTTTACGTGAAAAAGTTTTTTTCTTACAAATAGGTCTATTTATTTATTTCATAGAACATTCAAAACCAATTGAATAAAATATTTGTAATTTTTTAAAACACTTTTGTACTTTCCATTGTATTATAACAGAATCTTGTGAAGCAAGCCAAGTGAGGTTGAATAAAATTTTCGATAATCAGAAATGTATGACGATTGAAGAGGTGTTCGACTGTCCTCTGATCCTACTTCGCGATAGTCATTAGAAAAAGTCAAAGGAGCCAATAATTTGCTTACAAAATACTTCAAATAGTTCTTTCAATATTCAAGAGTTTGACAGAATATTTCATGTCGTTATGATTGAATGTCTCATGAAAGAGATATCTGACTTTTAAGGAACAAGTTTTTGATAAGTTATGTTCCAGTCAAAAACAATGAAAAGCTTTGTAGCTTATGTATTTCCTGTAGTAAAATGATAAATGTCTTCCCTTGAAATTTGATACTAAAAAAAACTGATATGTTGATTTACTTGTTCATAAAAATATTTTCGAACATCATTTTCTTATCTTGACACAAAAGCAAGTCATTCATGTATCTTATTGTAGGCAAAATTGGAATTTTTATTGGGACGAGATAAGATTAGAATTCAACTAGAGATAAATTCATACAATAAAAACAATTAAAATCTGAATAGAACAATAATTTTTCTTTATTCAACAATATCTTTCCATTTCACTAAATAATTTACAGAATGAAGCGTTTTAATCTATTAATACTACCACTTGGTTCTGAATGTCATTTTGTCGAACAAAAACTTCCATTTTTCTCTATAAGAACATTGTTTTGTAGCGCAAATGCCTTACATCGCATGTGTAACAAATTTGTTTATTAGATTGTAATGGGTACATCTAGATTTCTATCACTTATCGACACAATCGTTACGGTTACATTTTTCTGTCTTCTTTTTATTTCTTTCACAGCATTTTGTAGTAAAGTGCATTATTGTAAGATTTTATCTCTAGTTGAACTCTAATATTGCCGAGGAAAAAAAAATGGAATTCCTCTTCTGACTGGTGGGTGTCTAGTAAATAATCTAATTTTAATCTTGCCTGGTTAAAATTGCAATTCCAATTTTGCCTACAACAAATACATTAGAATATGAATAAATGAAAATGAATACTCTTTGTACTTAAAAAGAGCAATTATATGCTATATTCTATTATTGAAAATAAAAATGAATATTAGAATATATTTTTAAATAAAAGGAAATTATATTGCAGTTTTG